TGCCACACTGTCCCAGAGCTTCATCGCTGCTATGTTGGATTCAGAACTCAGGATTTAATAGGCCATAACGCGCCATTAAGCCAAAAATATTTTTTACCAGAAGCCATACAGGTTTTAGCGAATTGAAAACAAAACCAAAGTTCCGTATTATGCTTAGTGCACAGAGATATCACGCGGATATTCACTGCAGTTAGCTTATGTCAAACGACTAACCGTTTGCCGGAACTGTTGCGAATCTTGGCAATGTGGGGACTGGTGACCTACAGTAAACTTCAATTGTATCCGGCAGAGCAGTGAACATTGATCAGGCAATTATAGAATTTTTCAACCACTGGGCAAACGTAAAGTATGACGGAATGTTCAGCAGATGCGATTGTTGCAGCGCCATCTCAGACAGAGAAAGCGTTGATCCTTTCAAGAGCTGGCTGTCAGTATCATAGCTGAAGCGAGGAGGTTTCTGATTCAGGAAAATCATGCCATTGAGTGGCGTCTGTCCGAGTACTCACTGAATACAAAGAATATTTAATTCCTGAATATGATTTTTGGACTCAATTTTTAAGTGGAGACCATTCGCTTGAAATACATGCGGTTTAATTTCATATCCTCGCTTTCTATTCACTTCTTTACTTGAACGTTCTGTGTGGTTCGTAATGATTTTGTAGTTTTGTAATGCAACTGAAGTGCCTTTCAGCAAAATGTCGGAGTTGGTTCTCAGTCAAGGTTATGGAAGATCAGCCAACGGTTCACAGTCATCATGAACAGTTTACCTCCCCAAAATATTATGAGTTTAATTCTTTGGAAGGAGTACCTTACATAAGAAGTGTCCATGCTATTGCCACTTTTTATCTGATTGATTCGCAACAAGTCGAGGAAAATTGCTGGCTGGAATTGGAATGACCGGTTTTAAGAGATAGGGGCTGTTGCCTGCATGGAAATTCATGTCCAAGCTTATGTCTAGTTATAGAAGCAGCAATAATGATTCGACTGGCTTACACCAAGTACTTAAAAAATCTGTAAATAAATAAATCTTTACATAGTTGAATATAAATATGATTCGTTCACTGATCCATTCATTCACTCAGTCATTCATCCATTTTAAGGCACGTTGCTTCTTTAAGATTGTGAGCACATAAGCTTTAGCAAGTTTCTATAATGGTCACAGTCTTCTTGTAATTCGCTTAGGAGTCTTTTTGACTTGGGGCTCGACGAGGTCACGAATTCAATAAAATCCAATCACCTGGTCGTTGGCCTGCCCATTGATCGTTTTCCATGTGACATTCACTCACTTATTCACGCACTCAATTTTCTAGCACAGTGAGCATCTGTGTAAGCCATCACGATCGATTTCATCGGTTGGAGGAAGAATCACTCATAATGCATGACACTTGGGATTACCGTGCCATCAAAGATAGCAAGATGAACATTGCAACATACTGAGACAGTTGCATGTACCAGAAATAGGACACGGGTTCGTTCGAAACTGATGTTTGTTATCCGGGGCCTAGTGTAACAATTGATTATTGTTGGTTGCAGCTTGACAGATCGAGTGAAAACGAATCCGAAACAATCGGAAATCGATCTAACACAGCCTCTGAACAAGGAGGTGTAACGAGTATCGCCCGACACAGCTATGACACGACCGAGTTGATTGCCTAGCGGCCAGCTGATTGCTCATCGCTTATGTCCCCGATATCGTTTGTATTTTTTGCTTTCGATGCCAACCGATATTCAGAAACTTGGCTTTAGTGGTAGCTTTGGATTTTTCCTTGTCTTCATCTTCTTTTAAGCCATCCGCGTTGACGGAGGTAGGCAATTCGGCAGGTAGTTCTGCTGAGGTCATGCGTGAGCAAAATGTTTGGTTGTTTATTTACACACAATGAAAGGACATGTGGTTCTAATCTGTAGCCGAGTTTTTGTTGCATTTCTTCGGCGTGCTTGCACCTGTAATGGGTAATCGCTCGATCGGTGCAGTCGTGTCGCTAAACATCGTCGAAGCATGACCGACACAGCCAAGATTGTGTCGCCTATACAACAGCAAGAGTCACTTCGGCTGTGTTTTCGTTAAAGACACAGAAACCTAATCGAGGCAAGAAAAAACAGGGACCAGCAATTGTTTGAAAGTCCTTCGGCTTCGCACCTGTCCCCTGTCGTATCGACGGTTCAGGTCTGACAATGTCCGACTCGCCGTCGGCGGCCTTAATGTTTCCTTAAGAGTGTCGTTGATCGACGCCCCACTCTTCGAAGGACTGTTTCTCCGATTTGCACCGGAATCCGCTGCCAAGCCAACCGGTGCCTCGAACGGAAACCACCGACTTCCAATCAGTGTCGCATTGTTTGCACAGTGGCTGCGATAGGCGAAGCAGCTACTCGAGTGACTGGCGTCCTTGGTGCTGCCGGTAGGCATGACTTCTGTATTCAACAAGCTTTGCCGACAGTCCTGGACGACGGCAGCTGTGGCGAAAGCCGCTATCGAAGACGACGATCGTCTGTCAGAGATTGATGATTGTCCACCTTCAGATGACCATGTGGTTCATGTCCATAGCGGCACGTTTCAATGCCCGTTGGAGAACGACGGTACCCTGCTGTTGTCCACGATCCAGTCGCAGATTCCGTGGGCCGCCGGACTATGGTACATGCCGGCCGAAAGCAACTGCAGACGAGCGATCAGGTTGGTGCTCGTATTGTGACCGTTGTTGCTCACGTTGCTGGACGTCGTCTGTGCTTCTAGGCTGGACAGCGCGTCCGGACGCCTTTTTCCGCCCAACAACGGGTGGGGCGATCGAATCTACACGGTTTCGTTTTGTGAGTCTGCTTATGATACACTAATATATAA